GAAGCGAACTTTGAGGTTTCCCTGGCCGAGCTGGGAGTCGTGGGCAAAGGCCTCGTAGATGAGTAGCTCTTGGTCCACATGCACCTGGGGATGGTGTCGGGTCATCAGGGGCCTGGACAGCGCAGGCCCAGGATGGGGGGCCGGGGCCCTGCCTGTGCTCACCAGCAGGTAGGGCCGGCTCTGGCGACTCCCGAGCGCCACCAGCAGCACCTCCTTGACGAGAGGCAGCTCCCCCTGGCGCGTAGCCTCCTCCTTCCGGGCCTCGCCCTGCGTGGTGGGCTGGCCGAACGAGCTGTCCACCAGCACCCGCTGCCCCACCGGGAAGTTCTTCACCAGGAACACCAGCCGCCAGTCAGGGAGCTGGTAGATCTAAGGGGGCGGGTTGTTAGTGGAGGCAGAAGTGGGGAGGGGCGGCTGCGTGGGCACAGGGCGCCACCCACCTCCAAGGTTCCGTTCTCCCGCACCAGCAGGCACCAGTGTGTGGGCTCAGCCCGGAAGGGGGTGGGGTCCCGGTCGGTGGGAGGCTGGCTGCTCCTGCGCGCCTCTTCCTTGCTGGGGCTGAAGAGGGAGCCCGAGTCCCCGTACAGCATCTCCTCCTCGTCATCCACTGTGGGGCTGGGGAGCAGATGCGTGTATCAGGGGTGGCCCGCCCCGGGGACCCCAGCCCCGAGGACCCCGGCCCCCCACACACCTGGTCTCTGAGCCTGGGCCCTCCGCCTCAGAGCCGCTGCGTCCCCCAAGCTCATCGCGGGCCCCGCCCAGGCGGCTCTCGGTGGTGAACATGCCACTGACGTCGCGGTATACACACATGGCGATCACCTTGGACTGCTGTGGGGGGAGGGGGCTCAGTGGTCCAGGGGGGGCAGGGACAGTGGTCGGGGACAAGGCGTCCAGGGGTGAAGGGGCCTACATGGTGCAACGGCGGCTTGTGCAGAGCCAGGCGGTGGTGGCGGCCCCCGTAGGAGTCGCTCTTGAGCAGGAACATGGTGACGTGGCCCTCGGAGCTCATGATGACCACGTAGGGGTCAGCCACGGCGCACTGCACGATGGGGGAGCCCAGGTCCACAGGGATGAAGTGCAGTTGGTTCACTGTAGACACAGGCCAGTCAGTATACCCTGCCCCGGCCCGCCAGCCGGCCCACCTGCCCGCCCGCCGAGCCCACCTCCTTCCAGCAGGCGGATGCCGAGCGGTGACACTTGCACGATGTAGCGATTGTCCCCGATGTTGCCGGCAAAGACTGTGGGACCCTGTGTGGCAAAGCCACTGGTGTCCAGCTCCATGATCTCCTGCCCAGTCTGCAGGATCTGTGGGCAACGGTGGTGAGGCACACCCCTTGCAGGGGGCCCCACCCCGGCACCCCTTTGCCAGGCCCCTTACCATGGTGGAGTCCTCCCGGCTCAGAATCAGGAACCCGTGTCTGCGCCCGTCGTCCTCTGTGTCAGGGGTGCTGGGCTCCTGCTCCGCGCCCTCGCCCTGAGGGGTCTCCTCCTGTGACGGGAGGACAGGCAGAGCACACACCTCACCACCCAGCCCCACAGCCGAGCCAGAGCAAGTTCTGGCGCATCTGCTGGGACCTGCACAGCCTCCTCGTCCTCATAGAGGCAGCACCAGCCATCGCCCCACGGCCTTCTTGCAGCCTGGGGTGCACTCACCTGCTCCTTGCGCCCAGGGGCAACCACTGTCCACATGTCATAGCAGCCAGGAAGTTCAAAGGTCGTCACCACCTGGGGCCGGATGCTCTTCTGGAAAGACAATGGGGTGCAACTGACCACCCAGGTCCCCAGGAGGCCCCACCCTGGCCTGCCCCCCACACACCTGCAGCACAGACAGGGCCCCGTTCTTGCCGTAGCCAGAGCACATCACGATCTCCAGGTCCGGCTCGGGGCTGTTCTGAAACTGTAGGGGCCAAGGTGAGGACAGGGCCCCCGGCAAGCCCCTCGCCCACCTGCATGCCGCCCCCACCCGCCTTCCCAAACCGGCACCTCTTCAGACAGGAAGGCGGGCTCGCCCATGGCCGCATTGGCACAGGGTCCAATGTTGAGGATGCTGTCACACACCTGAGGGCAGAGCAGTGGTCAGGCGGGTGGGCCCACCAGGGTGGGGCCCCTTCTGGGCACAACCTCACCTCAAAGGAGTAAGTGGCCAGTTGTGTGCCCGACTGGGCCTCGCTGCCGTACACCTCGATCTCATCCACCTCGTCCTGCGGCCCGGACTGGCCACCTGCAGCACACGGAATGCTGAGATGCCCTGTTCTCTGGCCCCAGCACTGCCCCTGCCCCCTGCCCTCTCACCCCTCACCTGACCAGCCCACTGTGGAGTCGACTCGCTTCTTCTTTGACAAAGGCTCTTCCTGTGAGGCAGGAGGGCGGTGAGCAGCCCTGGGGACACCCTGCACAGGGGCAGAGTCCCCACAGACACCCCCGGCACCCACCTTGTCAGCAGCCTCCCGGACAGCACTGGCCGGGGCCTCCTGCAGCTTCTCCGTGTACTTGAGAAGGAGGGAGTTGCCCAGGCGAGAGCCAAGGAACAGGTACCCAGGCTCCATGGTGACCATCTGAGAGAGGGGGCGGGGTGGGGTGGTGGTGAGGGGGCTGGACCCAGACCCAGACCCAGACCCAAGCCTGCCCGCAGCGCCCACTCACGCTGCTGGTGAGCACGCTGGCGGCGGCCTTGTCGAAGTGGAAGGCACGGACACTGCGCATCCCATCGGTGATGAGGGTTAGCACGTAGCTGTGGGAGGGGGACGCTGAGCTGGGCAAGGCTCCCAGGGTGAGGGCAGGGGGGACGACGACACTGGGGGTACAGGGCTCCCTGAAGGGGGACTCACATCTCTCCGCCCTTGAGGGAGATGACCATCTTGTCGTAGGAGATGAAGGCCGCCTGGGCACAGTCAAGAGTGATCCGCACGCCCTCCTGGGTGCCTGTTGAGGCAGGGGATGGGTGTCAGGGACCCAGCAGCA